AACAAATAGCGAGGATTAGTATTGCTGGGATAGTAACGAGTGTCCCCTTAATACAAGTGGGATCAGATTCAGGCTACGTTCGGAATGTGCAGATTTAGAGATTTCACATATCTTTCTAAAATTATCTAGATTCTCTCAGACATACAAAATTTCTAACAATGTTTTCTTTACCGTAAAGAAAGTGGTGATCAATGATCATGTTGAAAATGACGCATATATAAGAGTATTAGAGCTACAAACCTTGTCTTATACTGTCTGTGTCATAATATAATAAAAAATAACAGGTTAAATTATATCAGCTTTTTTTTAACTACAAATATGAATAATGTCACTCTCCAGCTCTTAGACTACCTCTGTGCAAAATCATCAAAACGATTCTCCGTGCAGGGTTGCTTAGTTGCTGCGTGAAAAAAGACAAATGAACAAACACATCCGGATCTTTAATATTAGTTATGTAGTATCTAATAGGAAACACATATAATTAAACTAGTATAATACATGTATTAGTAAGGCATACAAGTAAAATTAATAATTCAATTTTCCAAGGCCAAGGGTAACTGAAGGTGGAGTCAAAGTCGTCACTTGACACTCGTACAGCGCTCCTATGTCGAGGCCGAATTGTTCCACACGTGCTTTTAAAGTTCGCAGTTCCTACCTCAATCTTGAGAAAACTGGAAAAATTAGCTGATGACATTTTTATTTTAGCGCTTTAAATAGGTAATACTTGTAGTAATCATTTCACTTCTAATACGAGAGTGCGATTCCTAAACATAGATTTTGATTAGTGCATGTTAAAATACTTTTCAGTTTATTTGAGTACATTTCAGAATAGAAGAAGTTCCAACTGGTTTGGGTACTTTAATAGATTTTATACATACATACATATATACATTATATTTAAATGGTGTTATTGCTATTTTTGTTTGTAACTTTGAGTCGATTTGCGTCGCTTCGATTTACGTAATGCGATAGCTAATGACAGCAACGTGAAATTTGAAGCTTAAAGGAATTACGAAATAATGAAAAGTGACACTAAAATATGAAAAAACATGTTTTTAAATAGAATATTGTCTTTACTGATATTATAAATAGAAAAAGTGCGTACATTTACTGTTTTATTCTTCTTCACGCAGTTAAAAACTGACCTAATTTGCATACACTCGACGTGTGTCATACGCTACCTTATGACTGACTTCAATACTGGTGTATGTATGAGTGTCCTTCTATATTGATTTTTGTATGAATTAAATAATCACTTTAACGGTAATTTTGTAGTAGGTGTACTTTTTAGTGGCAGTGGTAGCTCAATGGTAATGTGCTGGCTTGGGAAACCGGGTAAAGCGGGTTCAAATCCTTGGTCTCGCACTTCTGACATTTTGATGTCCGAATCATTTCCAACATGATTTACACTTGTCTTACGGTGAAAGAAAACATTATGAAGAAACCTGGATGTCTAAGAGAACTTATCAAGTTATTTCGAAAGACATGTGAAGCCCGACGAAAACGTTAAAAGGGGTTGAATACATGTACTTTTTAATTAAAAAGGAATAATCTTAAAACAATAATATGATGGACATACGAAGGCTTTAAAGGCCGTACAAATTGCAATTAAAATTGTAACAAAGTAACTAAATAACTTCAAAATGATCAACAAAGTATTTTTATTTTTTTACAATACGTCTCTTAGAATAATATGTGGTATAATAATATCGTTTGTGTTCATTCACTATTGTTCTATTTATTACAACGTGTCATTTTACTAGTAAATAGTAAGGCGAGGAAGGAAGCTTACATTGTTGAGCAAATACGCTGAACAACTTAAGTTTGTCTTAGTGAACTTTTGTTTCAAATAAAAGCAAACTGAAAAATTTACTTATAGAATCATAAAATTATTTAATCCTACTAGGTACTATATAAATGTGAAAGTTTGTATGGATGGATGTTTGTTAATCTATTACACAAGGACGGATAAACGGATCTGGATGAATTTTGGCACATATATAGATTATATTCTGGAATAGCACATATTTTACTTTTTGTCTCGGAAAATGTACGGTTCCCGTGGGATAGATTTGTTATTGTTTTTCACTAGGGACGAACCCAAGGGAAGCGAGAGTGAGCCACTAGTAATTATTAAAATGAACAAAAACATTTTCTTCATCCTGGATTTTATGAGGATAACTTTCCCTTACCTGCCCAGCTTATGCATAGAGGTCATATTTGTTTCATCGGACAGACTGATATCTATGTTTTAAAACCGCGTCTTAGAGGGACGTGGGTACTGCAGAGCAGTATCAAAGTTATTTGTATCCTATTCACGAATACCATATTGTATTAGTGCCTAAAGAAGATAACTAAATGTCTTTCTCTTACTGCTTTGCTTAAAAGTGTATCAGTTAGAAGAAAACTTAGAAGTACGTGGTCTTCAGTTTCATTGTCATATTATAATGATGCTACGGGCTACCTACAAAAATAAAATTTAATATGCTTTTTTAAATCGGTTAAATAGCTAGAGTTGCAGAATTTAATCATAGTATCAATAGCGCTAAATAAAGTGTTGAATACAACACTCTTAAGAAAGGCATCCACTTAGTTTTCTATGCGAATAAATATCGTTATGTAATTATTGTCTACGTAATGTACAATTTATGTTGCACGCCACTCGCGCTTGACCGCTCGTCCGTGTTACTGATGAGCGTGTAGCACATAGGCATAAGATATGTATGTATGTACACTATACAGTCCACACTATAACACCTTTGTATTGAAACTAAAAGTACTGACTTGTTTCTAGTTACAATTAATTAAAAACGGTTAGAAAACTTTTGGTTTTTTATATTAAAAGAAGTATATATAATTAACTAGCGGCCCACTCTCGTTTCGCTCGGGTTCATCCCTAGGTACGTTTTAACGGTTAGTATAGAATAGATATACTATATAATACAGATAGGTATGATGAGTTATTATGGGTTAATTATGGGTTGTATAGTAACCCCCCCCCCAACGTGCGTTGTCGTGGTGGGGGGGCTCAGTAGTGCCCGGCAACCCAACCGGGCGCGAAGCCAAGAAACGCACAGGGAGGTGGCCCACTTCGGTGGGCGGTGGGAGGTGGCCCTCTTCGGAGGGCGGTGTACCATGCGGGTTGCTCCTGGTACTTCTCTGATAGCAGAGTGGACCTTGGAGCAACCCCGTGGTTGTTGTGGTCTGCTTCGGCAGACCTGCCATCGGGGCGTCGTAGTTGAATGCGTAAGCGATCCTGCGACGCCCCATTAAGACGGGGGAAGGCTTTGTTGGGTTTTAGTGGGTAGTACTGGCTTTGCCGGTGAGTCCCACACCTCGTGCGTAAATGCATTTCCCTACGTTAAAAAAAAATAAAAAAAATAATAATAAAAAAATGGGTTGTATAGTAACGAGTTTTCCGAGAATGACATGAACTGTTGCAGCCTATATCACTTTCCAGCCCTCCAACTATCTCCACACAAAATATTACACCAATTCGTCACTCTGTTTCGACGTAAAAGACATTTATAATATTAAGTACGGATGATATGACGGCCGCCTGGCCTAATGGTGTGAGTGAGAGAGTAGGCCGAAGTTCGCCTGTTCGCGTTTCGATTATATAGAAATAAATTCAGTCATTTTAATCCATTTAAATCAATCGGACATACCTACAGCCTGTCCTGTTAATTTCGTATATATAATGTGGAAGTTTGAAATTGTTATTGCGTACTCGTATATTGTAATAAAAACATAAAATATAACTAGTTTTTGTAGGAAATAAAACATTAAACTACATTACTTGTATTAGCAAAATATATAGTTATTATTTATATTATTTACCTACGTTTCCTAAGTTTGGGTTTTTTCCTACCATCTTATAATAATGACTATTTTAATAAGATTTTCCAAAAAATATTGCATGTACAGATTTGACTCAGTTACAATTTTATTGTATGTTGAGATAGGTAAAATTTATAAAAAACAAGGATGATGTAAATCGATTCATAAATGACGAAGATAATAAGCAATACAATAAAATAATTGAATGAAACAATATAATAAAATAATTAAATGCTTATATAAAATTTCGTGTCTGTACAATTGATTGATGAGGAGGTGCGATATCTGAAGCAATCCTAAATGAAGAATCAGGTCATAATTACCATAAAAGTCACAGGAATTGAGTCAACATACGAGTAAGTAACAAGTCAACTGTAGGGTAAGAGGAAGTAGCTTTAATTCAGCTCGCAAGATTGGGACCATACAAACTTACCAACTAAGAAACGTTGCAAGTTGAATTAAAGCTTGTAAAAAAGCAGTTCAATTACCTATCGCTTTTTTATTAAAAAAATAATAATATTTACTAATACGGTTTAATATAGGAACATACGGACAGAACATACGGACATGCGAGTAAAGAAGAATGATTTTGACACGACCCTTGTACCAAATCCTAAAAAGTATACCGCTATCAACAAAATGTTCGATATATTTTTTTAGAACGTCTGTAGGGTAGAAAAATGAAATGAAATATGGTTATGAATTAGATGAAATAAATTCAAGTGCAAATAAGTGGTTCCAGACGAGCTCTTACATTGCGGAACGACAAAATTCGAAGTGGAAACACTTTATTTGAATTGTTGATATAAAATATTCCTTTTTAACATTTCTTCCTCAAGCACAGACCCACAATGCGAAGGGGATTAGGCCCACCTCCCTGGCCAAATGCGAGTTGGCAGACTGCTCAGTGGAAACGTATTTCGAATACTAGTTGTCTCAGAAGCACACGTTTTGTCCAAATGTAGGTTTTTTCACGGTGTTTTTACTTAGGTAAAACAAAAAAGATCATGTTAAAAATGCTTCGCGCATGAAAATCATAGAGGAATCACAGCCGGGGTTCGAACCTACTTCACTTGTTTTTTTAATAAAGGCTAAATTCGATATTATGTATGCAATAATGAATAATTTTAGTTATTTTAACAATTTATATTTTGTTTCAGGACCTCTGCCTAATGTGACGATGGTGGATTTAGGATTAAAAGAAGGTAAGGTTTTGTTATATACCGCATCTTATCATTAAATAAAATAAATAATCAGATGGTTTGAAATAAAATATGATTATAAATTTTATTTATTTCATAATTAATGATTATACATCAAATTTAAGTGTTGATGTCCATGTGGCGCAGTAAATAAGTGTCTGAATAACGCGATCTACTGCAGAGGGTCGTGGATTTGAATCTCGAACAGGACTTCTAAGTAATTTTGAAATAATTATTATGAAAAAGAAAATCGGTTGACCTATAGAGGAGAAGAAGGTGCTGAGCTATTTTGTTTTTGCCTGTTTATATATTAAGTTTATTTTATTTTATTTCTTTATTTTATTTTATTCTGGTTTTAAAGTTGGTTAAAATTTTTTGGTATAAAATAGAGGGAAGTAATGATAAAGTTATACCCTGATCCATCGCAGTTATAGTTTCTGTATAATAAATTAATGAGGACATGTACGTACATCCTTACGTACAAGTATTAACGGTTATATGAAATAGATAATGAATCCCTTGCTGTGTGTAAAACAAAAACAAATCCCACGGGAACTGTATATTTTTCCGGGATAAAAAGTAACCTATGTGCTAATCCAGACTAATCTATCTCTGTGCCAAACATCCGTTCAGCCGTTCTGGTATGGTTGAGTAAAAACATCCACCATCCAATTTCGCATTCATATTTATATGGGACTATAAGATTAAATCACATTCGACTCTTGTTTCCAGGTAGCTGTGCATTAGGCGATGTGGTGTACATGCCAGGCGACGAGTTCCCCGGCGCCGGCCCGTGCGAGCGCTGCACCTGCTCCGGCGGCGGCGTGCGGTGCGCCACGCAGCGCTGTGAGCCACGTCCTGGCTGCAAGGCCGTGCACAGGCCAGACCACTGCTGCCCGACCTACCAATGCGGTAAAACGATACTTCAATGTATATACATATATTCACTATATTAAATGAACAATTCTTCTATATAATACTAGCGACTCGCTTCGCTCGGGTTCGTCAATAGGTTGCTTTCCCATACAAACTTGCATCCCCATTATCACCCCCTTAAGGGATCATTTCCGTAATAAAAACTGTCCGATATCCTTTCCAGAGTCTCAAACTATCTCCTTACCCAATTTAAATCGGTTCAGTAGTTTCGGAGCCTATTCGGTACAAGCAAACAAACAAAATAAATCTTTCCTCTTTACAATATTAGTATAGATTATATGTTAATTTATTTCGAGTATCTTGGAAGCGGCTCTAACAATTTGAATCAAATGTTGTCTTTAAATAAGGTCTTGCTGTTTAAGTTTATCTACGTTTTTATATCTTTTTCGAACAAAAAAACAAAAATAAAATTACCGCGAAAAACCTTATAATGTAAATATTTATTAATCATAATTTTAAGTAAAACTGCGCCAAACGAATTTCTTTTAATCTGATATATAAATATCTCGTGTCACGGTGTTTTTGGTCGCACTCCTACTAATCGGCGGCTCGGCGGAGTTTAATATTTTTTATATATTTAGTAGGTATGAGAATAGGCCGTAAAGTATTTTTTACCCTCCTCCCACTCCCCCACGAACCCGAGTGAAGTGAGGCTGAGTCGCTGTATAACATAAAGCCAAAGAGTTTTTTTATGTAGATTGAACGCGGGCATAGCCGCGGGTTCTACTAGTAATCATATATAAGTTATACATGCACGTTGTCTTAATGTCCGTGGTATATTCGTTTTTTACCTTCATTACTAATAACAATAACCTCCTCAAATTTCAAATTATATTCCAATCTCAAAATTTTATCGCTTTTAAACTTTTACCTACTTAGTAGTTGCCTATATGTTATTTTTAGATATTCTTTATGAGATACTCTTGTTATTTACTTCTCTGCTTAGTTTTATATTTCCATTTTAAGAGTGATCTAAACCTATACATATGTATAATAAAATTCTAATTGAGTCGAATCTGTACATTAAATATTTTTTGAAAAATCTTATTTGTTATAGTCATTATTATCGACAGAGTGCAAGAATCTATACTTTTTAGAATTTTTGTCTGCCTGTCTGTCTGGGAACGCATCACGAGAAATCCACTGGACAGATTTTGATGAAATTTGGTATGATGATAGGTTATTCGGGTCAAAATATACTTTTTACTGCGGCAAAATATCTCATCTCTGAGAAATCAGTACTAAATGTTAATAGGTAACTAGGGACGAACCCGAGCGGAACGAGGGTGCGTCGCTAGTCTTAAAATAAGAATAAAAAAGTTATTTTGTAATCAAGGATTTTGTATAAAAACTTCTATTTGCTATCAAGCAATATCCTTTTTGGTAGCGAGAAATTTATGTTATCCTTAGAAGTAGTTTGAAACTATGCAAACTTTCCAAAATAAAAATAAACTATCGAGTAGCGTTCTTAGAATGATAATGATTTATTCCACAAGAATTTTGTGTTCTTAGGTTTTTAGACTGTGTCAGTTGAAATTAATTCAAATAACGATAAATAGACAAAAACTAATATTTTGCTTTATTTTTATTTTATTTATTCTATAACTATATCAGCTATCTATCTATATAGCTATAACTCAAAGATACTCGCTTCAACTTTTTTTATAAGGACAGTACATTGATAAAAGTTTTATATACACATTAATCAACGTAACGAAATTAATTTTCAGAATGTGAACAAGAAGGTCGTGTATACGGGAACGGAGAAAAGTTGGTGGATCCACTGGACCCTTGCCGTGTGTGCTACTGCCAAGGTGGAGAAGTAGTGTGCCGTCGTATTGCATGCTTTGTTCGGGATGACTGCCAGCCGCGACTTGTCCCGGGGCGATGCTGCCCAGAATACGATAACTGCCCTGTTAGAGGTGTGTACTAGATTTTTATGTATTCAGCCCTTTTGCCTCCCTTCAATGTGAAGGGGATGAAGCTGTAGTCCACCACGCTGGCTAAGTATGAGTTGGCGGACTTCATATGTTTCCTCACGATGTTTCCCTTCACCGCTGGACAAGTTAGAAATGCACAAGAAAATATGAGAAAAGCGAGACCGGTGATTGAAACGCGCTTCCCTCGGATTCCCAAGCGAGTGTGTGTTATCACTGCCATACATTTTTATGACTTAGTAGGATTTAATTATTAGTAAAACAATCACCCGCGATTTTAATAATAATAAATATTTTTAAGCATCTATAGGTATTACATGGAATATATTAAACTGTGTATCAAATATAGATAACATTGTAAAAATTTTACTTTCAGATGGTACTCCAGTACCTGGCGGAAGTTCATCAGTCTCCAGCGTATCTTCTATTATAGATGCGGAAACTAGCGTAGCTCCATTACCTCCGAGCGAGCCCAAAATACCTGAAATTACAATCAAAGAAATAACTCCCGTATCTGAGATCCCGGTCATAACCGATGTTAAAATAAAGGAAATTTTACCCTCACCTAGCATTGAAGTCGCTGAGTATTCATCGTCAAAATCACCACCAATTACGCGAGAAGCTACTTCTGAGAATCCCTCAAAAGAAGAAAAATCACAAATTGACAGCTCGGAATCGAAAGAAAGAGTGTCACCTCCATCTATAGCACCTGATCTATCTACGTCCTCTGAAAAATCTTCTGTAATCAAAACTGATGTACCGCCATCCAAAATCAGTCTGCCAACACAAGATTCACTTAATAACATCGAGCCTTCTAAAATTCCTAGTATCATTCCATTGATGGGCCCATCTATGACTGACATAAGCCACTTTACTACTAAAACAGCAATTATTGAGGAAGAGGATATGGATCATAATCCAGCATTCCCACCCATTCCCGACGACTTATTTTTAGTTCTAAGTAATCATGATGAAGAAATGCCAGAACAATCTTTAGATAATGAACACGTGCCAATGGATAATGATGTCAAAGTATCAAATGTGCCAATATCTACTCAGGAACCAATCTTTAAAGAAAGTCCAGCGACTACTGTAAGCTATGTATCTGACGTAGTAACTGTTACTAAAGGAAATATTCCAGACACGTCTGTCGAGTCAAGTACATACCGAGATACTACCATTATTACTCAATCACCACTCACTAAAGAGAACACAATGCTGAATATGAGATCCGTTATACCCACAGATATATTGAACTCACCGTCTTTAATATCTGACGACGTTACTGGCGATATATTGGACGTCACTGAAAGCCCAGCAACTACAGCTTTAATCAATGAAGTGTCATCAACTGAAATGAATACTGTAGATATTTCTACAGACATTGTAAGTACAGATACACAAGTGGTTATTGAAGAAAATAATTCAGATGCGGCATTTAATGATACTATGGCTGATAATACTCTCATATCAACTGAAATCATCCAGCAGGGTAATGCAGTAGATGAAACAACTAATATTGCATCTAAATCGACAGAAATTCTTTCGGAAACTGAATTCAGCTCTATACCCATAGAAACTAGCGATCAAAACCCACATGAAGTTTCCGAACCTGAAAAAGATGATAATACTACAGAATCTTCAATCTTAAATGGTTCATTTAATTCAGAGTCCAGTAAATCATCATCTAATAGAGATGAAGTTATAATAGTCTCTAAGTCACTTCCCTCTACAAATGATCAGTCATCTGAGAGTGTTAAATTATCCGAATATATGCAAACTTTTAGTTCTCAAGAGAGCACAACAGATGCTGTCGAGTTCATCAAACTTACCTATGATTCAGATAAAAATTCTGCTTTGATTGAACCTCCTCAAAGAAATAATAATGTCCTGACGGATCTAATAAACTTGGTTGGTGACGTTGCATCTATCAGTGATCATACTGAAACACCTGAAGTCGAGCGTCACACGTTGAGTCCTACTACGATTTCGGATTCTGAAGAATTAATCCCAGTAAATGTGGCCGCCGGATACAAAAGCAAAAATAAAAATTGGAATCTCAATTCCATAACAGAAGTGCCACTTAAAATTAAACAACAAAACAAGCAAAAAATTGTTGAAATTGAAGGTGACGATACTGACTCTATAACCGATTTGCCATCACCGAATGACAAAATCGAACCTACCACTCGTTTGCCTATTATCGACAATGTTTCAGATACAAATAACAAAACTCAGATAACAGGTAGAAAGGATATAGAAATAATCACACAATCCTACGTGCCAACAATCAATAGGCGACCGACCAAAGTTATCATGAAAAACGAGGAGACGCCTACTGAAGGTGACGTCACCAGTGATACCAGCGACACCAGTGACGTCGCAGCCAACGTCAGCTCCGAGGGGACGGCCGCGCCGGAACTCTCCACTGAGAGCCCTCTCCCGCAGTGAGCCCTCGGGTCGCTATCGACGGAACCTCAGCTTGGCATTTAAAAACTATAAAATAGAGACTAATAGTTTATCGTCAATTGGTATAGATTATGAATTTATTAGTAGTTGGACAAATTATTTATAATAATTAGAGTAGATTAGTGTAGTTTATTTATTTTAGTGAGAGTAACGTGTAAGCAAGTAAGCTAGTCAAGTGACTACAGGCGCCTGCTCTCGACGCCACGTTGCCATTTCTGCTACTTTATATTGTTTGAATTGAATAGTGTTGCCAGATTCTCATTTTGCCAATTAAATATATAAAATGAATAGCTTAAAATTTAGTATTATATCTTTAAATTTTTATATTTTAAATGAATTATATTGCACAATAAACATTTTATTCTATTAATATTCATAATTAAATATAGTATTTTACCTATTTAAAAAATGCTAAGTTATTGTCCACTGGCAATACTAATCAAAACGAAAGCTCTCAAGAGCTCTATTCATTCCATAGATGTAGTTCCTTTATTCTCGATCCGCATGATTAAATTAGGTTTGATCTCAGGATGTCTCAGTCTAACAAGAATAATTTTAAACAAAGTAAAATATATAAACTTCAATACAGTAAAATACCAATTTGAGATTCGACTGAAAAGCTACTGAGATCCAGACGCGATTAATCTAGATTCAACCGTCATTCAATCGCGATTTTATCTAGATTCAATTGTGATCTAATCAAGATGTAATCGAGTTCTAAACTAGATTCAATTTAGATTCATTCAATTAGTAATGTAGATCGTCTTAGTTAAGAGGCTCCTTAGTCGACTCCGAATGTAACGCCCTTCGTAAAGGTACAAAATGAATTTGATATAAACATATATTATACATAGAATAGCGAGTATATGTGAACGCACATAGATTATTTATCGCACTTATGTATAAGGTAAAGCTTTTTCTGTGAAGGCTCAAATAGATTAAGAAATTACAAATATGTTGTTCATAAACGTTTATGGCAACCCAAACTAAACTTGGTTAAGTTTTTTGGTACTTAGTTTAAATATGTGATTGTTAAAATTTCATTGAAAAATCAAAACTTTCCCAAAAATCCATAATATGGTTAATTATATTAAATGATAGCATCAAAAAGCCGAGATATTTAATAAAAGTCTCACATTCAACCAAACTTTTGTCAAAATAGTACGGTTTTAACCAAAATATATTATTATAATTAAATTATAAACGTTTATAAATAGCTAATTCATTTCAAAAGTTAATTTTCTTATTCCTTGGGTTGACTATCGAAGGTTCAGTTATGTCGTCGTCCGCTAAGTGAGATGCTCCTTCTTGCTCCGGAAGACCGTATCTTTTCCCGGGCAATAAGCGCATGTGCTCCTTTATATTTTATTTAAAAATTGTTTTTTTACAAATAAAACAAATTAGACTGAAAGCTTGTTTTCTTTGCGTTCCTTTTGTAATATACGAATATGTAGATCAACTATAAATAAAGGTAGAATGTACAATTATTTAGTATTGTAATATTTTGAATCTTGTAGTATATTTTACGTCTTTTTCCTTTGAGAAGGGGAATCAAAATCTCAATTTGTGTGTATTGTCCCTCAACCGCCCGAGGTATTGATTAAGTTAAAATGAACACCAAAGAGTAAAGTAGTAAGTATAATTTTTCATATTTCAATATGGTTCAGCGGCGTGAAAACGTATTAGATAGACAGACAGACAGAGTTACTTTTACATTTATAATAGCCATTTTCTAAAAAGAATATAAGAGATATCTTTTGTAAAGCAAAATAATTATATTATGATAATTAATTAATAAATGAATATGTTATCTGTAATATCAATATGTGTGAGTGCGAGTGACTATATATTCTAGATAGGTAGTTTTTATCAACGTACATTAAGTTTTCCCATGGGATAGTTAATAATATAAATTGTAAAAGTAACTGCAGAATACAGAGAGACAAAAATTCTAAAAACTATAGATTCGGCCTCTGTATCGATAGTAATGTTTATTTGAATAAAATTGCCCTATATATATATATATATATATATATATATATATATATATATATATATATATATATATATATATATATATATAACTGCCTCGGTGGTGTAGCGGCTAGCATGTACGGCTGTACACCCGGAGGTCCTGGGTTCGAGTCCCGGGTCGGGCCAAGTTTAGTTATTGAGTCTTTCTGTATAGTAAGCCTCAGTAACAGCCCGGAGTTGGGAAGTTGGCGGTGTTTTACCCCCGTGCCTCAGAGAGCACGTAAAGCCGTCGGTCCTGCGCCTTATCTCTCACCGGTCGTGTCGAGTAGTCGTCCCACCGGAGTATGAGAGTGACAGGAATAGAGAGTGCACTTGTGTCTGCGCGTACACTTGTGCACTATAATATCTCCTGCGCAGTTGGCTAGTCTCAATGAGATTGGCTGCCGTGGCCGGAATCGGTCAGGAGAAAATCATATATATATATATAATCTCAGAAACAGCTCCAACGATTTTCATGAAATTTAGTATACAGCGGGTTTCGGGGACGATAAATCTAGATCTAATAAATAAAGATTAGTTTTGTCTGAGAAAACGCGTGTTTACGAGTTTTCATGCGGTTTTGTTTCGCATTATTCCACGCAAAATATGGTCGCTAATTCGCATGACAGGACATAAGTTTCGTGGTCAAGCGACCAAGGCGCAAGTTTGACAACCACAGATGTCTGGGTTCGTATCCCGGTTGGATACAAAGTTTTTACTTTTGTTTTTCTTGTATATATTCAAATTTTTAGTTTGTTTCTTTTTTAATGTTACTTCGGCCAAAAAGGCCAAGCGAAGCCCAGGTACTAACAATAAAATTAAAAAGCGAAACCTTATCTCAATACACAAACCATGTCGAAAATACACGATTCACAAGGATTGCTGATATTATAGTCGATGTATTGTTTGCTGATATTATAAAATTGTGAAGGTATGTTTGTTTGTTGTCTGTTTTTCTTTTAAGTCGAAATAGATTGACGGATTGACGTAATTTTTTGTGTGGAGATAGTTGGAAGGCTGGAGAGTCTACTTTTTACCGCGGGAAATTATTATTATTATATTATAGTTTATCTATTCCATACTAACCGTCAAAACGTACCTATAAATCATTATCTAATAATACTTTAGGTTCATGATTAAAATAAATCTATTACCTCAGCTAAGAAGCTTCGAGTCCATAAAGCATATTGTGACGATGGTCGGGGCTGTTACTCAATAACGCCTCTGACCTCCCGCACGTTTTGTCATCTTTATAGTAATCATTAGAAGTGATTGTAGTATTGCGTACAGAAAAAGGAATGCTTAAATAGATTCTGAATAAAAAGATACTTAATATGATTTAGTCAGATTGGTTAATTAGGAATGGAGACTTTTCTCGATCGTAATTTATATGAGACCCATGAGTCTGTTATATTAAATCTATAGACAAAAAAGAAATATTGCCGATCATATACAAAAAAAATAAAGTGCAGAATTAAACTGATTTTGAAGTCAGTTCAAAAAATATTAAATTTAAAAGAAAAATATATGATCTGTCCAACTATCTTCTCATTTCATTTCATGTCGTTCATTAGTTATTATTCCAACTACAAAAAATGTATCTTTCTGTGACAGAAATACATAATAAAGGGGTTTTTTATTATCATCAAAGGCCTTGCAGTGTTTGCTTTTAACTCGTAAACTTAAAAAAAATATATTTAATTGTTCATTGTTAATAATACAATCAGAATGACTATAAAAAAAAGAAAAATACAACGTATCCTCGTCAAAATAATAAAATGCAACAACAAAATTATAGAGTAAAGTTAAGATAAAGATAAAAGTCTACATTAACAAATTTTGACCCATCAACAAACACTGCAATAGCGGAAACAATCATGACGATTGCAAATGCACGTTGTATGTACCTTCACTTGAAAAGTTCAACAATTAACGCTGCCTTTCTAACAGTTCGTTCGGGCTCTACCGGCTAGTACATAGACTATGGAAGAAGATTTTACATAGAACCTTTGTAGGACTCAAATGCATTCGAGTTATACAATAGGTCACACTTTATAGCTAAGTGGGGCAGATAGTGTTAGGAATTTGTAAAGTTATAGGACCAACTTCATGGTAGCCTTTGTCTAGTAGATAGAAAGGTAGAGTCAGTAAGTAACTCATAGTAATTTGAGGACTTGCTTGTCATTACTATCTCATTTTGAAAGATAGAGCGTGCACCTGTTATATTAATATCGCTTTGCCAAAATATTTATATTGACTCTTGGGAAACAGTTTCTAGGCCCAGATAAAATTACGGAGTGTACGCCTAAGCAAATCCTGCAGTTTATTACAATAGCAGGGTTTAGTGGGCTAATCTAGTTCAATTCACGACAATCACAGAAAACGAGAAATGGTCGAAATGATAGTTTATAGTCCCAAAAAAAATGATTCATTAATATACATAATATATTGATTGTCATAGAGTATTCAAATTTTAGTGCACTAAAGGTTTTGGATTTTATTCCTGGATTGTATATTCATTGACTCACGATTCGCGATGTACTCGTTCGTTTCTCGTTCTTTAATTTATTATAGATATTTACTTTAACCTGCTTAAGATAATTTAAGCATCCAAATTTAAGAGCGTTTTTAGATGTAATCGCTGGTGATGTAAATCTATAAATATTTATTTTGATAAATATATTAGCATTTTTTCAAAGAATTATATATTTAAAACACACTACGTATGTTCAATCGATCATGTTTTAAAATAAAAGTATATTAAGTGTATTGTACAAATATTTAAGTTTATTTTACTACTAGCGGCTCACCCTCATTTCGCTCGGGTTCGTCGCTAGGTACGTTTTACATAGATATAAATAGTTATTAGCCAGCGTTAGCCGTATAAATATAATTTTTTTTTCGTTTAATTTTTCATTTTTTCTCTTTATTAAAACATTCCGTGTTTCTTCCTTTTTGTTTCTTTATTCCTACCTTGAGCAACAGGCGAAAAAAAATTTAGCCGAATTGGTCCAGCCATTCTTGAGTTATGCGCTTACTAACATTTCTATAAATACAAAAAATTTGCAAACTGCTTTCTTGATAGTTGTTTTGCCTATTTGAATATGATTAGAATATTTGACATACGAAAGTATCATGTTCGTCTGAGACTTTATCACTTTTGCTTCCGGCTATGTTTTAAATATTCATGTATGTAGAGCAGAGAGTCAGTCTGTCGTTTTGATTATGTGTATCAAATCATTTTAAATATATTTCGTGTATTTCAGAAATTGCTCTAACGAATTGGATCAAATTTTGTTATTTAGGTTTTGATTTTCAAGTTAATTTACATGTATCGGTATTTTTTCTGAAAAATGTAACTTTAAAAAAAATAGAGTGAAGCTCGGTCACCCAGGTGCTAGTAAGTAGTAACTTAATCAATAAAAAATATAATTAGTAAAGACACTAAAAGTATCTTTTTGAAAATTAAATTTTAATTTTTACAGTTTTTTTGCTTAAATTTTTCAACTCTACCTTGTATGTAATCAGCATTAAATTATTCCGCTTAAATTATTTTGGGTGAAGCTTGCCTTAACTTAGCTTAACTTAACTCTTATAATAATTATTAAACATTTTGCGAGTAAATCATTACTTATTAAGTACTAAAATTACTCGAGTAAATAATGTCACCAACATCTCGTATGACTGACATTATCTAAAAAGCAAATCTCGTTAAATTACATGTAACTAGGAATCGATGCACCAGTTTTGGCAAGATCCACTTCAGAACCGCGGTAATTGGACTTAATCCTTAATCGAAGGAGAGCCACTAACACAGCGACACTATAAACAAACATCTTTAAACTCTGACTGAGACTTTTGTTGGCTTACATATTGTAGAGCAATCGTAATAATCTATTATGACGTATGTTAAGCAAGGTAGTATGTTAAGTAACACTAGAAGCTTCTTTCGCTTTTTATAGGAAAGCAATCAAAAGTGTGAAAGTATAAAATCATGTTTCATATATGTATATACTTTTACTTTTATATTAAGGATATTAGTATAAAAGAGCCAACTCTTTTACCAATAAAGAAGGATTTTTTTATTATATTAAATTTTGTATTTCAGCTATATAGCAGATTTTCCTCATTAAATATCTAAAAAAGATAAAACTTCCTGTACAAAGCTATAGGATGAGTACATTTCGTAGCCCCATATTGTTCATGTTGCGTAGGAGAGCGGGGGAGGGCAGTGAAAGTGCGTGGAGGGGCGCTATATGAAGAAGCTGAGTGCGCGCGCGCCACACTCTGCCGGCTTACAGGTGAGCCTTTACACGATATAGTCCTTGCTGTTAATTAAATATACAAATTACGTATCGCGAATTTGTTTAAGCTTCAGTGCGTGTTTTGTTCAGGGTTTCAGTAAGTTCCAGAAATATTTTAGGTCAAAACGTTAATTTACGTGAGCTCTAAAATTAACAGGAACCTCATAGATCCTATTTACAATACTATTTTATCACAGTTTCTTTTTATATATTATCGATTAAAATGATATTTTAAATCGAACATTGCTAAATTTAAAAAAAAACTATATATATTTTGTGTTATTATAGACTTGCATTGATTTCTGAAAGGCAGTGTGTACTTATCGGCCTTGTTTTTTATTATAACATGGTGACCATCGAGATCATGGTGTTAACATTTTGCCCATGACACGAAAAATATGTTTTTAAGCCTAAATTTAATGTACATCAAAAACTAACAAAATTATTTACTTTAGCTCTATGTAAAACGTTTCCTAACACATAGTGTCAAAGTGGTATAAGTGCGAGCGCTACTTTCCCGCGTGTGATACACATCTCAGGCTATTATGTAATAAAGGGAAGTGCTTTTTAAAATCATTGGAGTGCTTTACAATTTATACAGATAGTTTTGTGTATATTTAGTTTTCTTACTCTATTTTTGTATGTAGAGTTAGGAACCAGTTAATTTCTTTTGATAAACTGACACTTCTAATTCATAGTAAATCATAAATTCAGTAATATATAACTATCTTATTTATTTTAAAGTCCCTAATTATGATAAAATAAGAAATTTAAACACGGGATCCATGGGCGACACAAATTGACATATTAGTTAGTTTTTCACTTGTAATTAAATCTCTAGATAAGTATAGTAAGCACTTAAAATTTAAAATTAAGTTAAATAGGAATTCCCATATTATTATTTAAGCCGCAAAATTCAAACATCGTATCTAAGAAACATATTTAAACTTCAACCTCATCATGTCGCTTTCAGCTAACTTCATCATGTCACTTTTTGGCTGTCGGTGTGCGCGCGCATCGTTAAAATTTTCCTCTCATAATTCTTTACGAACGTGCTAAAAGAAGTATAACTTTAATAACAATTCGCTTATTTGTTTTCTAAGACCTTACAGATCACTTGCATCAGAATGCTTTCATTAAGTTTTTGCTTAAAAAATAACTATTAAGCTTTTTTAAGTTTAAAAAGATAAATGACAACATGTTCTTTCTGAAATATGATAAGTAATGTAACTTAAAACATACTAAGTTAGTTTAATCATTATTCCATTTCAACGTCTTAGAAACCTCAGTACATCCGCCTCGACTTCCTAAATCTCTCCCAATACATATTGATGAACGCAAATGGACATTTCGAATTCGGTAGTCGCGCCAGGATCGTGACTTGGTACTTTCTCCTTACACTCGGCTACAGTATACGTACGAGTATAAGCTATCTCTTACGTAACAAGCTCTGATTGTATCATCTTCTAAATTGGTGTTACAAAACCGCATTTACATTTAAACAACGTTACACTATTAATGTTTTGGAAAGGGAATGTGGCAATGGTGTACTCGCAATACAATGAATTAATATAATATTCGTAGTACATACGAGTACATATAAAAATATAGAGTAGATAAATAATTGTTCTAATGAAGTTTCTAGTTACCCCTCAATATTAATATAAAAAGTCAGAATTTACATAACGCAACAACAATAACAAAATTCGTAATTGGGTCAGCAAACATGTTATAAACTAAATTTCACTTTTCTACGTCTACATGATACAGAAAAAGAGTCAAATTATTATATTAGAAAAAAAGATAGTAGAGTATGGAACCCAATAAATATGTGATATATCATTAAAAAGTTGATATGTTATATATATATATATATATATATATATATATATATATATATATATATATATATATATATATATTACTTGCTTTATATTACGATTATATTGTATTGAATGTAAATATTTAAATCTGTCAGGTAATCGTGCAAAAAGATATCACAATGAAGTTCGTGGTGTGCCTGATGTTCGTGGCGGCGGTGGCAGCGGCCCCACAGCGCGAAGGCGCGGCCTACAGCAAGGAGGCCATCAAGCAGGCCCAGAGCACCTTCCTCATCCCCAAGGATGCAGTCATTCAGAAGGTGAGTCAGAAATACCTCTAAGTTTCTATAGTATATGTAAAGATAATATAGGATCAAAAATATAGAGTCAAAATGAAGCTAACACTAGCTTAGCTCTGCTCTTTATTGTTCACTCTAGCATTTAGTTTATTATTCTTATAATAAAGAACCTGACATGACTGAGATTGTCCTGCTCACTTTTAAATAAACTTAGGGATGATTGAGTTATTTTTGAGTTAAAAATCCTATAAAAAACATTTCCACTTATATATAATATCTACATATTTTTTACCAAAAACTTTATTCGGATTATTTCTATACTTTTAGTATAGCCAATTTGTAACAAGTAATGCATTTACCAACGAACAGAATTTCATTTTTATTATTATATATGTAGATGAATGTGATAAAAATCATGTTTACCTAACATGTATGTGAAAGTTGTGTCGTTTAGAAACGGCTGTACTATCGAAAAACAACAGTAAAATAAATATACGTAATGTGACACATTTCAATATTATAAATGTTACTTTAATGATGGCATAAAATTTATTTCCTTTTGCCCGCGGCTTCGCTCGCACAATTAGCGGAGCGGGGTTCAAGGGTTGCCTATTCCGATCCCAGGTTGTAATCTACGTCCTTGTTAAATTTTCAGAGTTACTTTCAGTTTTATAATATTAATATGGACAGTTTGGATCAATATTACATACAAATATTTACAAATTCTGCCCGTTCATGATTCTATGTATTGTAAAGTTAAAATTTAATTTTGCTCTATCTATGGATAAAATAAATTTCTTTTAAAATAAAACTAGAAGTTTGTAAATTGACGAAAAATACGTTCCCTTTTGAAATTGAAACCTTGATTCCTCTTATTATGAATAGGATAATATATATAGATATATATTATTATATAATATATTATTATATAATATATATTATATAATATATATTATATAATAATATATAATGAATTTGGAGAAAATGAAAGATTTTTCTAACATAATTTTTTTTATCAGGTACAAGAAGGAGTAGAACTTGCAGCTTACGAATCCATCCCCGGCAACCAAAGGGTCAACCTGTTCGAGATCCTCGGCGACCAGCTGCCGTCTGAGGTTATTAACAACCTCCAGTCCCAAATAGACCGTATCGGCCAACAATAAGCACTAGTTATAGAAAATAACATATAAGAAACCAGTAAAAATAACGACAAAGAAGATTACTTCGACAAAAATGTATTGCAGTTTGTCTTCTTCAAAGAAGATTTGTGGATTTTAAAGGAAGTTATTACTGGTTATTGTAAGGGCCCACGGTCCAGCTGTTGATTAATATTTAATTTATTGGTGTCGCAAGTACAAGAAGTATGTGATATTATAACATCTTTTATATATTTGTAGATAAAATTGAATTTATTTTATTAAATGGTCACTTCGTCCAAACTGTCGTGTAAATTATTCCCTTTTTTATAAATTGATCGTTTAATTTTTTCAACTTTGTTATGACAAAGTATGACAATTCTGTGTTCTTCTATACATATAATACAATTCTAACTAAGCCGTATCTGTACATTAATATATTTTTTGGAAAATCTTATTGAAATAGACATTATTATCGATACAGAGGCCGAATCTATAGTTTTTAGAATTTTTGTCTGCCTGTCTGTTACCGCATCACGGAAAAACCACTGGAGGGATTTTGATGAAATTTGGTATGGTGATATCTAATTATCCGGGTCAACAAATAAGATAATTTTTACCGCTTGAAAATATCTCATTTCTGACCAAAAACATAAAAACTGTAATGTAAGAGTATACTAATATGAAAAACCTAAAAATTTGGTTTTCGGTCATCTAAACGCGGGCGGAACCGCGGGCAATGCTAGTTTTTTGTATAAATAAATCTTAGATGTTTTTACATGTCTGTGTAATACAGATTTTTTTCTACAATATTTTCCACTTTACCAACACAGATTGATTTTATCAAAAAATACCTTATTATTATGAATCATCAAAATCGATTGAACTATGAAAAACAAGTAGACTGGAAGAGTTGATTTCGCATTATAATAGTAATGATAGGTTGATAGTTAAAGTATACCATTCCCCTGAATATATATAAATAAAACTTCACTTTCTTATTCATTGGAACAAAGTAAAGTTCCTTTAAGGAGGCACGTAAATAAATAAATATCAAATTATATCTATATAATATAAGATAACTAACTGTACTTGGAAGTAGGGATGATTGAAATAATAAAAACATAACGTTGTTGAAAAAAAAATTAGTAATCTGTAAATTAAAAAAGTTTCATTAAAATCTATTCAGCCGTTATCGAGTGCTGTGCGCCTAATAAAAAAGCAAGAAGTATTAACTTATTTTTACTTTAATTCAACTAAACCTGTTACTTTAACTAAGACCTTTTAATGTCCTACTGCTGGATACGAACCTTAACTCACGTGAGCATATGAAGAAGAACCAGCCATAGTCCATATCCACCATGCTGGCCAGGCGGGTGGCAGAACTTTCGATAACCGCATTAGCATATGATAACCATCAATCAAGATCGACTCAAACCAAATTCAAACTAGTAATCTCTTAAGCTGAAGCATGTTCCTTAACACTGCGCTATATGCCTTTCAATATTGAGTGGTCTTTAAAATTAAATGAATTGTGCAACAACTATATTGCGAGGCCATGAATATTTTGCTGTGTACTTAATCAATTGAAATAATAAGTATATTTGCATAGTACCAACGCACTTACGAAATAACAGTTTGAAAAGGAAAGTCATGCATTATAAGGATTCAATGTTGAAATAAATTTGTGAAATAAAAATGACCGATGATATAATGATAATGACCTCCAGATCGATTTTGGCCGATTTCATTTAGACTAGTCATGTGTGCAGGAAATGTTATAGTGCACAATTGTGTGCACACAACGTGCACTCTCTAATTCTTTTAATCTACGAGTTTGATAGAATGACACAACGAGTGAGAGATCGGGTGCAGGATCGACGGCTTATGTGCTTTCTATAAACGGGGACCATCTAACACCGCGAATTTATCAAATTCTAGTTGCTCCTAAGAATATCCTAACAGGTGAACTTAAAGTCTACACTTGGCAAAACCTCCGGATCTGCCCGCGTACATGTATGGTATATGAATACCAACGAAGCATGTGCCTATAATACAAATAGTTACGGAATCAACGACGTACATCGATTTTGAAAAAAACATCGAACACTCCATTTTAGTACCAAGTATTTAATATAGCCCCTCCACGACCGCGGACATGCCGGCGTTAAAGTTAACAATAGATTTCTTAGAATTTTAATTAATTTCTTAGAAATTTACCTGGAGGTGTTAATTATAAGCAAAGCTATGACAGATCGCTAATACGTTGTTATTCATTAAAAAAATTATAATATAAGTTAAGAGATTCATTAAATAGCAGCCTTGACCTGCGATCACTCGTACTCGGCCTTATATATTTATAATTTACGTTGCTATTGAATCTAATACTTTATTTAGCAAGTTTGTGTATTTAAAACTAGCTTTACCCGTCATTTTGCTTGTGCGTCTTTTTATATGGCTCGAAACATTTTTTTTGGTACCACCTATTATTTAAATGAAATATAAAAGAATGTACCTATAGTTGAATTAAATATTATTTAGTATATATTCTTTTATATTTACGCGAATATTTGATATTTTAAAATAAAACTATCCTTTCGGATTTTTTCGCTGATTTATTTTGATTTTTGGTTCCCGACGTTTCGAATGCTTTACACCAATCACGGTCACGTGGGAGACTACCTTTTTAGACGTCTCAAAAGTCATTGTTGCAAACACTGCCTATCGACTATTTTACAAAAAAAAAATTGTTGGTAGGCACTGTCTGTAACAACCTTTGCTAAAATATTAATAATATAAAAATAAAAAAATAAAATATGTTTCAATTTATCTACTAATAATGTTTCAAATTATAATACAAAATATAAACAAATGTATTAAAATGGATCGAAAAATAGTTAAAATTCAGTTAATGATTTAATAATAAACAAAATTTGGTTTTTACACTGTTCTGAAATAAGAAAAATGACATACTGCCATATATTTCGCAATAAATATTATATTACTATAACATAAGAACTGAACGCTTTTATTACAAGTTTTATAGTTTTTTTACAAGATACTGGTTTTTAAAATCATATCTTGTATCTTAAAATATTGAAATAATCAGTGGGTGATTTTATCGCGGTATTATCCACGAGTGTCTTATTTCATCCGGCCGAGTAAAAGTCCAAATAAGACTTGAGATTTACATTCTGTGCGTTTTCATACAAAACTGGGGTCAAATTGACTGGTTGTGGGCTAAATAGAATTACAAAATAAAGCAAGTGCGAGACTGACTCGCACTCCAGGGTTTCCTAGCATGAAAAAATTTTATTTTATATTTTACCATAACTAAATAGTTATATTAAAAGAAGAATCCATCGAAAATATTTACTTTATCGTCTGCAAAAATATAATTCTATTTCATAGTCATTATAAGGAAAACAAAGTTATTTTTGAACACGTAGTACTCCTTAAAAATTCCACCACCATATTATCTTACTTTACCAATAATTTTCGTTGAAATTATTATGAAAGATGTAATAACTCATTTTCTTTTGAATTTTCCATAGAATACTTCAAAAGTGGGGAGACAATGTTTACGACTTTAGAAGCATGTAACTCTGCATCTATTGGCTAGACAAAAGTTGCTTAGAAATATTCTTTCATAATTTTAAAGACATGAAATCATAACATGACATTAATTTAAAAGCTATTAAGTGGATTATTAAAAAAATGATGTACTGTGGTTTGTATAGGGTTCTAACCAATATTGTTATTTTTCCTAATTTAAGTGCAGAATTGTGCAATTTATATTAGATACTCCGAATAAAACGACTGTGACAAAGGTATGTATTCAGCCCGTTTTTTTAACGTCCCACTGCTGGGCACGGGCCTCCCTTCACTAGGAGGGGGATCAGGCCATTGTCCACCACGCTGGCCAAGTGCGGGTTGGCGGACTTTACATATCTTTCGAAAACTTTCTAGGTTCTCTCAGACATGCAGGTTTCCTCACGATGTTTTCTTTCACCGTTTTCCCGGATTTGAACCCGCTTCACTCGGTTTCCAAAGCGAGCGCGTTACCAGCGCTACCACTGCCTTCTGTGACAAAGGGATATGATGAAATTCCAATGGGTTCCAATTTTGTCTACAGGCTACGGAATCCTAAAAAGAAAAGCGTACACATAGCCAGCTTCTAAGTTTACATTAGAGCCATCTCGCATGCAAGTGTAGTGACACTTAAGCCGGCTGTAAGTCCATTAATCCTCTTAACTGAACGTTATCAGAAATATTTGATGGCATCGCGTGTCTCGATTACGCGAGCAGTTGCGACATACAAAGGCGCCAGAATAATAATAAATTTATAACGTTACGACTATGGAGAAAGTATGTGTTACATTACGGAATGCCATGTAAAATAAAATGTATTGATGGTACAAAAGTTTTTCTACGTGATTTTTTCATAAAATCTTGAATTCATGTTACCTATAAAATTGAAAATTATAAATCTCCATTATAACTTAAAATAATAACTTATCTTAAAGTCTCTTTCAATGCATGGTCTAATATCGACATCACATGATGACGACATGTTTGGCTCAGTTTGTAGAGACCCTATTTCCTGTGCCAGCGGTCGCGGGTTTGAGTCCGGCTGGGGGGCATCTTTTTCTTTGATGAACACGAATGTTTGCACTCCAGTCATGGGTGTTTATATTTATAATATGTATGTATTTAAAAAAAAGTTATACGTATATTATGTGTAGCGTACGGTGGCGAAGGATGAAATTTTTGCGGAGGTAAGCCGGTCCAACAAAAAAAACACTCACTTTGTACTGTGCTGTAAGTTCCAAACCTAGGAATATCTTCTTTCATAAAATAAGGTCACACTTACACCATACATTAAAGTACGATAATTTCAATAGTGTCTTTTACGCATGATAAAAGCGGCTTTGAAAAAAGCCTTTTTAGACGTGCGCTAAATCTACACATGCATGCTTGTTAGATTCCGCTAAGTTTTTCGACAGTTATTCTCAGGAGTGGAG